TGGAGAAAGAACACGGTATTGGATTGTAGTGGTGCCAGGTTCGTTGTATTGCAATTGTGGCTGCAAAGGCCGTTGTACTCATGATAGTATTTGGAGAGTTGTTTCATGGTCGTTTCAAGTGTGGCTCAGCGGGCGGTATCCTGCCATTCGACACGATGGGACTCCATTTTCTGAATCGACTTTTCGCGGTGACGCCCAGAGGGCTCGAGCAGCAACTGAACGGCGGATGCTTCCGCGAAAGGGCGGCGTCATCCAGGGCCGATTCGACTGGGATTGGCTGAAAAAGGTGATTGGCCTTCGAGGCTGGCAGGGCGACGGGGCTACAAAGCAGATGTGTTTCAGATGTGCTGCGGACAAGTGCGGTGCATGCCCTTTCACTGACGCCAGCCAACATGCGAAATGGAGATCGACATGCAAAACCCATGCGCAACACTTGCTGGATCTATTGAATCGTGGCGAATACTGGTCAATATTTTGGAGTTTGCCTGGCTTCCAGCTTCAATACATAGTGTTAGACGTCATGCACGTGTGCGACTTGGGAATAACCCGTTATTTCAACGGTAACCTTTGCATGGAATGGTTCAAGCAGTTGGGCGGTCTGACAACGTCGCCTGACCCAGTGTTTTCCGAGATGGTTCGGTTCATAAAGATGGCAAGCAAGAACCTTGGCTACCCGAAACCTCCGCTCAACAGACTCACCATGGGCATGATGAAGCCGCAGAAAGCGAAGGCGCCGCTGCTGAACCTCAAGGCGTCGGATTCACGTTTGATGGTCGGAGTGCTGCACTGGATCTTCGTCAACCTATTTCCACCAGAGACGGAATTCCAACGCATGCGATTGCATTGCTTGGAAGCGCTCCACAATTTCTACAAGGAGCTGCCTCGGACGAAAGAGTCGGACGGAGACCATGCATCCATGGCAACTAAGCTCGGAAAGTTTGCTCGGCAGCATGTGGCACTTTATTGCGAACTCTCGCTGCATCCTCAGCGCCCGAAGGGGTACTGCGCATATCGATGCTACCCAAAACATCACATGTACATTCACCTCGCTGAGGAGGACTATTTTGTCCACGGCAACCCACGGGAGAATTGGAACTACAACGACGAGGATATGATTGGTTATTGTGTTGATACCGTTTCGGGGTGCAGCCAGAATAGTAAGTACATTCACAGATCTGCGATTGAGAAGTACAGACTTTAACACGCTTCGCACAGGTGGGCGACAGAATGAGCACCTCCTCTTCCGACTCCCACTCCGCACCTTTTCCTCCTCCTCCTCCTCCTCTTCCGCTCTTCCTTCCTCCTGCCTTCCTCCACCTTCCTCTCGCTCTTTCTCTTTTTGTTTCCTCTCGCTCTGCCTCTCGCTTTCTCTCTCTTTCCCTCCCTCTCTCTTTCTCCCCTCCCCCTCTCTCGCACTATACTCGCCGAAGGCTCTGCCAATCCGCGGCCGAAGGCCAGCTGTCGCAATCCGCCGCACGTCTGAGGCCAAGCAGAAGCCCTCGGATGGGCCTGGTGGCTCGCAAGAGTCATCCGACAGGATCAGGGGTAGTCCATGGGCCGAGGTTGCACCGAAAAACTTCCATCGCGGCCCTGAGGGCCGCGAGGTTGGAACCAAACGGAAGGCCTGAGATGGGCTTGGCGGCTCGGGAGAGCCGACAGGGATTCTGAAGTTTCCAGCGCGGCCCCAAGGGCCGCAAGGTTGCCTCCGATCACGCTCTGATTGCGAGCATGTATCAAACATAACGCCCATTGAACGCAATATGCGCGCTGAGCTATAGAAAGATGGCATGCTCATCTGGAACAAAACCTCTAAAAAAGTAAGAGGTTTTTGATATCATGTTACAACCACTAAAATTTTAGTGTTTCCACTAAAATTTTAGAGGATCCTCTTATGTTTAAGAGAACTGATGCGCTGGGGGGAACCGAATTGGGAACCGGGAGCTGGGCACGCAGGACTTGGGACACGTGTTTTGGAATTGGGGAATTGGGGACAGGGAGAACGAAGGAGAGTGACACGTACATATATATATATGTATTCATATATATATGTATGTTGATATATTGCACTTGAGAAAATCAAATCAGTGAATGATTTGAAATTTGATATTATGGATCTTGAAGGCGATTGTGATATCGATATTGAGGTCGATAGTGGAATCGATAGTGAGGACGATTGGAAGGTCGATCGTGAGACCGAGAGTGAAATCGATTCAATGATATCGATAGTGAGATCGATCGCGAGATCGCTCATGCGATCTCTAGTGAGATCGCTAGTGAGATTGATTGTGAGATCGATTGCGAGATCGATGGTGAGATCGATCGACAAATCGATATTGAGATCGATGGTGAGACCGATCGATAAGAAGATCGACCAAGAACCCAGGAACCCGGGAACCTCGCCGCCCTCCGAAGTCGGCTTGAGAACCGGGAACCCGAGAACCCGGCACCGGGAAGTTGGGAACCCGGGAACCCAACGTGTGACCAAAATCGGCGGGGCATTTTCGCCAAATCCTTCAACATCCGCGAGGACCCTTTCAGTGCAAGCATTGATTGGGGAATCTATACAAGTTGCATATATTATACATGTATGTCTGTATATAGATGTATGGAGAGTATGGAGAGGGAGAGAGAGAGAGAGAGAGAGAAAAAAACAACATAACAAATATACACTCATACATGTGTACAGAGAGAGACAGGCAGAGAAAGAAAGAAAACGTGCCATCTGAGCCTGTTCTCAGCAATATCAATACGTATCACTGATTATACATACACATATATATGTGTGGTACATATGTATTTATGTCGCTGTAAAGGGGGAGGAAGGTACAGATAAAGAGAGAAGGAGAGGTAGAGAGAAACAAGGAGTTACGCAAGTACATCTGTATGTGTACCGTGTCAGGTTCACCTCCATGTATTTGTATTCGCAGCCAGTCATATAATCTTATATGTACTTAGATAACTTTGTACGCAGTGATGCTATATATCTACACATATCTATATATCCGTAAGGGCTTCGCCCCCTGCCGCCGGCCCCCTCTCTCGGAGAATAGGCTATGCAAAAGCTATGTCATGAGGCCTGGGCGCTGTCGTGAAGCAGCATCGGATCTTCATGCGAGGCCGACTCGTAATGAGTTAAACCGATTGATCACCAGAGGGGTTACCACACCTGGCAATTAATAAGACGTCGTGACCCTGCGGATCTGCGTGAGGGGTGCCACCGAATTTTGCAAATGTGGCAAATCCCATATGTTTTTGGAACGGGGAGCCGGGAACCAAGAACGGGGAATCAAACGTGGGATCGGGAACCGGGAGCCAAGAACTGGCAGGAACCCGGAAACCGGGAACCAGGAACCGAGATGCAGTAATTGGGCACCGGGAACCAGGACTTGGGACCCGGGTCCCAGGAAACAGGACCCGGGAACCGGGACCCCGGAACCAGGAATTAGGGAACCGGGAACTGGAAACCAGGAACCGAGGACCGGGAATTGGGAACAGGGATTTGGGAGCTGAGAGCCGGGACCCCGGAGCCGGGAACCGGGACCCGGAACCCGCGGACGGGGGACTGGGAACCAGGAATTCGTTGATTAACAGATTTTTGTGTTGTGTGTGTGTGTGTTTCGTTAATGGCCGCTCTGAATGCCCTCATCGTTTACTATATGCGCATGTGTGTTGTGGATGCACGGTCTATGTGTCGTTTATGTTTGGTTGTTCCGTGTATCTCTATGTGGAAGTGGGGAGGCTGCAGCACCGCTCCATGGCGTCGCTGCGCTCCGCGTATAGGCGCCTCCACAGAAGACTGGGCGCATGCGGACATCTGGGATTTGGTCGCCCCTCGCTGGGACTGCGTGACTGGTGAAGGGCCACCTCGGCGCCGCCGAGGCCGCCGAGCGGGGCGTGTCGCCCGAGGACCGCGCAGGCATCGCCGCGGCGGGCCGCCTCGAGTGGGCGGTGGCCGAGGCCCGGCTGCCCCCGCCCGCGCTGCGCCAGGGGCGCGAGCGGCAGTTGGTCGCCCTCCAGGCGACGCAGCACGTGCTGGCCATGGGTGTTGGAGGCCCTGGAGGCGAGCCACGGGCACTGCGCTGGGGGCCCGCGCGAGCGGCGGCGCTGGACCGCGGCAGGGCATCGCCGCCGCCGCGTGCCTCGAGAGGCGGGCGATTCCACCGTCGCTGCCTCGGCGGCCCCTCCGGCGGCACCACGACCAGCGAGCGCGGCGCCTGGCCCGGGCGCGACCGCCGCTGCGAGGGCGCTTTGCGCCGGTCGCGCTTGGCAGGGGCGCGTCGCTTTCCAGGGGCAGGCCTGGGTCGCTTGCGTGGTCTCCTGGTCTGCGGGTGGGCCCCAGGCTGGCAGCGCCTGGCGAGCAGCCCTTGCAGCGGGTGGGCGCCCCTGCCGCCCCCGCGCGCAGCTGGGCTGCTGCTCCGTGACGCGCCGCGCGCGGGAGGCAGCGAAAGGGTTTGGCGGGCGGCGTTGCGGCGGCGCTTGCTGGAGCGCCCAGGGCGGGCTGACTACTTCGGTTCACGGTGGTTGCCGAAGTGTTGTTTAACCGAATCTGCAGGGTGGGCCCTTTCCTTCTGCTCGTATCCAGCGGGGCCTTCTCAGGGCCCCAAGGCTAACGCGCCCCTTTCCTGCTTGCTGTTGCTGTCGTTTGTCGTTGTGGCCCTGTCGCCCTGACGAGGTGTGGAGAGAGGGTGCCACAGCGCGCCCAGGGTCCAGCGGTACATGAGGGTGTAAACCAGACTTGTCTGGCTGATGCTCTGGGGGAGGCTGTGTTCAGGGGGGGCTGCACCACCGCTCAACGATGCGTTGTTCGATCGAACGTGCAGGTGGGCCTCTTCTCTCTGCTCGGTTCCAACGGGGCCTCTTCAGGCCCCCGTGCTGACCCGCGCCTCCTCGTCGTCGTCCTCGGTCTCGGCCTCGTCGTCGTCCCCTCCTCGTCGTCCCCGTCCTCGTCGTCGCCGCCGTCGTCGTCGTCGTCGTCGTCGTCGTCCTCGCCGTCGGCGCAGGGCGGCGCGTCCGCGCTCATCGTGGCCGTGACGGCCCAGTCGCAGCTCTTCGTGTACGATCTGGAGGGCGAGGCCTTGCTGGAGGGCGTGGACCTCGGGCGCGCCCCGCGCCGTCCTGCTCCTCCCCTCCCCGCGCCCGCTCCGTCGTGCTGCTGGGTCCTCGTCTCTTTCGCTCAGCGGCTGCGGGCGTCCGCTCCCCCGGCCTTGCCGCGGCTGCCACTACCTCAAGCAGTAATGAGGCGTCTTGGCCTGCCTGTAGCCCACCAAATGATGTACGGTTCGCACAAAGTGTTAGAACATCTCTAACTGAGACCGTTTCAATTGGATGTGCCGACTCCACGGTACGTTCTAAGAACATGGCTTTTGTTCTGAGAGCATTTGAGGGGGTCTAGAGTCATGTCGTGGTAAGCCTCTAGGAATGCCAGGACGGTCAGTCCCTGCTCAATTGCCGCCACTGCCCGCCCCGCGCCCTCCTCCCCCCTGTATCGCTGACGTCGACGATGCATCCACGATGCGTCGCCGATTTCACTGGCGATGCGGAGCGACCCTCCGACCCCATCTGCCAATCTACTCGGACCCTTCTTGGGAGGCCTCCAGTGGTGTTCCGGCCCTCCCCTTGTCGAGCCCGGCGCTCTTGTACGGTTGGGTCCTAGTCCTCTCGCCGCCGCGACGCGCGTTTCCTCGCGTTCCCTTTCTTTATAATCGTTTAGCCGATCCCTATCCGCACCTACATCACCCTTCCCAGTCCCCACCATCCCACCAGCCCAGTTGGGGATATACCGTTCGAAATCCGGAACTGGCAGCCCATATCCCAATCTAGGGGGTAAATCGGCCAGCGGGGCCCGAGCCACGCCAGTAAGGATAGGGATCGGTTAAATTATCATAATGTTCCTCCACGTGCGCCGCCCGCCCTGGTCCAGACCGAGCGAGCCGAGCACGCTCTGAGCGAAGCCGCTGGACGACGATTCCCTCCTACCCGAAAAACCGAAAAGAGTGCATGAATGACATTGATCGGATGTCCGCGCGGATTTCTTGGATCGGGGTTGGGCCTCCTTGGCGCGCCAGGGTGGGGGAATCCGCGCGGACCTCCGAAGAATAATTATGATGCCGCGTCGATTTCGGCACATGCCCCGCGCGGATCGTAGCGCATATGGTGGATCCGCTTGTGGTGCTAGCGAGGGCGCTCCCACGGCGCAAGTGCAGCAATTTCTGCACACCCCGCGCACGGATGGTACCCCAGATGGAGGTCCCCGAACGGCCCCAGTGGGAGCGTTCCTTCAGTGCCAGCGCGCGCACTTTTGAACACCCTTCCCACAGCTGGTGTCCCATGCGAAGTTTCTTCTAGTATGGCCCCATCGGGGGGCGTCCACATGCGGTCCCAGGCTCATTTTCGGCGCCCCCAACGCACGGATCGCGTCAAATGGGAAGCTCTACGTGCATATGCGCGATTGCTCCGCAGCCCCCATATTCGTGATGCCTCGCATTTCCCCCCCATCCATGCGCAGCGCGCGGTACATGATGTGACGGCCATGCCCCGCGCTACACGCAACATACAGGGTTGGACCCCCAGACTAATACTGATGATCTCTATGTCTGCTTGCTTGTCGCCTTTAGTGAAGGAGGAGTGGAGGACGAGGAGAAGGAGGTGGAGGAGGAGCAGGAGGAATAATAGGATGAGGAGGAGGAGGAGATGCTGGGAGGAGGAGGAGGAGGAGGAGGAGGAGGAGGAGGAGGAGGAGGAGGAGGAGATGCTGGGAGGAGGAGGAGGAGGAGGAGGAGGAGGAGGAGGAGGGGGAGGAGGAAGAGGCGGAGGAGGAGGAGGAGGAGGAGGAGGAGTAGGAACACGAAGAGGGGGAGGAGGAGGAGGAAGAGGAAGAGGAACAAGAAAAGGAGGAAGAGGAGGAAGATGCCATGTAGTCGCCCGCAAGGACACGAAAGAATTGCGCTTCGCTGTCTGTTCCAAAGAATTATTGCTTAACTAGGGGCGACGCGAAGATCGAGACAAATGTCGTGCTCGTCGCCTCCAGCACAACGAAGCTCGCAGGCGGTTGACCTGTAGATTCGGGAGTTTCTGTAAGATTACCCGAGGGATCTGAATTGTTCCGGAGGCGTGAGGCAGTGCTTACGGGGGATCCACGGGTTTCAGAAGAACTCCAGGGGCATCCAGATATTGGAGAGAGCGTGATCCACCGCCGCTTTACTCTGGAAAATTGCCAACCTTTTCCTCCGGAACCCAAGGATCGCCCCCCCCCCCCCTCCGAATATCCCCCCCCTCCCTGCTGGAACCCCTCCCCCCCCCCCCCCCCCTCCCCGGCAAAACCCTCCCCTCCCGTAACCCCTCCCCCCCCCCCCCCCCCCCCCCTCCCCCTCGAAAACCGGGGGGGGTCACTACCGGTTCGAACCCCTCCCCCCCCCCCCCTCCGGATCCGGAAAACCGGGGGGGGTCACTACCGGTTCGACCCCCCCCCCCTCGAAAACCGGAGGGGGATCACTACCGGTTCGAACCCCTCCCCACCCCCCCACTCACCGCCAGCAAACGACTCCCGGTCCCTACCACCGTCCGCATCACATCCTCCACTGTTGTTCCCAGCACCACTGTCCTCACCACCACTGTCCCCACTGTGTCCCCACCAGTGCCCCCACCACTGTCGCACTGTCCCCACTGTCCCCACCACTGTTCCCACCACGGTTCCACTCTCCCCACTGTCTCCACGGCCCCAACCACTGCCCGACTATCCCCACTGTCCCCACTGTCCCACTGACTCGCCGCTGTCCCACTGAGCTGTCCCACTGTTCCCACCACTGTCCCCACTGTCCCCACCACTGTCCCCACTGTACCTCTGTCCCATTGTCCCACCGCCGTCCTCGCCACCGCCTTCACCACTGTCCCCACCACCATTGTACCCTCCACTGTCCCACTGTTTCCACCTCATTCCCACTGTGCCCACACCGCTGTCCCCACCACCACCGTCCCCACCACTGTCCACTGTCCCCCCTGTTCCCACCATTGTCCCCACCACTGTCCCCACCACTACCGGCCTTTACTGTCCCACTGTCCCACTGTCCCCACCACTGTCCCGCTGTCCCCTCACCACTGTCCCACCAACACCGTCCCCACCTCTGTCCGCACCCCCACTCGGTTTTCGAGGGGGGGGGGGGTTCGAACCGGTAGTGACCCCCCCCCTTTTCATGATGAGCTGGGGGGGGGGGGGAGGGGTTCGAACCGGTAGTGACCCCCCCCGGTTTTCCGGAGGGGGGGGGGGGAGGGGTTCGAACCGGTAGTGACCCCCCCCGGCTTTCCGCCAGCAGCGGTAGAACACGCTCTTTCAGATATTGGTATTTGTGGATGTTTCCAGAGGTCTCTGGAGGAGGACGCCAGGCGAGGAGGAGGAGAAAGAGGAGGAGGAGGAGGAAGTGGAGGAGGAGGAGGAGGAGAAGTGGGGGGGTTCGGGGGTGAAACGTTTAGGGGGGTTCGGTCCACTGACCTGTCGGGGGCAGGGCTCTGGGGGGTTTCTCGTCGGCGAACTCCGAACCCTGCCCTCGCCGATCAAGAATTCAGGTACCTTTACAGGGCGGCGGGGGTAGGGTTCGGCTGTCATTCAAAACGTGGCAAAAGTCGAACCCTACGTATCCCTGCCTCCCATCGATCTAGGAGAATCGATCTTTTGTGGGATAGGGTTCGGATGTCGCCACCTAATGGTGTTTCTGGATCTCCGATCGTTCTCTTCTTCTTCGTCGCCTCTCCCCTCCCCTCGCCTTCCCTGCTGCCCTCTCCTCTCTCCTCGCGCCTCCTCCCCGCCCCTCCCTCGCCCTTGCTTTTCCTCCTCCTCCTCCTCCTTGTCTCCCCGCCCCCTCCATCACTGCCTCTCACCGCGCGCTGTAAGGAGGAGGAGGAGGAGGAGGAGGAGGAAGAGGGCGAAGGAGGAGGAGGAAGTGGAGGAGACGGAGGAGGAGGAGGACGTTGACGACTGCAAGCCCGCGCGTAGCGGGAAGCTGCGATCGCCCGAGGCTGGGCGGCCCACGCGGCGTGAGAGAAGCCAGTATCGAGGCGCCATCGCGGCACGAGCCCGCCGCAGCACAGTGGCGCCCGAGCAGGTGCCTCCCCACATTCGCAGGCGACAAGAAGGGCCGCATCCGCGGCCTCGCGGGATGCCCCGCGGCCGGGCCGGGCCCCTGCTGGGCACGGGAGGATTTTTGCCGCGGATGCCTCAGGCGGAATTTGCCCATGTGGCCCGCAGCGGTCCAGTTCCAGGCGCTGCTCGTGGGCGGAAGACACATCCACATTCTTCGCGTATGCCCCTCGTGGAACGTATCCGCGCGACCGCGTATCCGCGGGATCGCTCCCCCGAGTCCAGACCGCCAGGGCGCGGACACGGATACGGTCGCCGCTTGTCAGGGGCGACATCACGGCACGGGCCCGCCACATTTCAGTTGCGCCTGAGCAGTTGGTTCTCACGATGCCGGCGGAGGCGGTCGGCGGAGAGTCGGTTGTACGTACGTTTGGCGTTGCAAGGAGAGCATGCGATGTGGCGCCGTCGGCCCGCTTACCACGCGCTATCTCGCACCTCGGGGATAGCCTGCGCCGAGGAACCCCTGGCAGGGGGATAACGTGCACCGACGAGGCCCTCGTAGGGGGATAGTGTGCGCAGAAGGGGCCCTCGCGGGGGGATCGACGGATCGACCCACAGGGATAGCGTGCTTTTCGGAGATCGATGTTGCAGGCTGTCTGTGCCACGCCAACCGTAAGACTGATCCTCCGCCAGGGCGACCTTTGGAAGAACGGTTTTTCGAGGGGCGCGGGGCGCCCCAAGCCCTGGCATGCAGGCCGCGACTGCTGCACAACACGCCACGATCGGCAAGCCGCGCACCAGAGGGCGGTCTTGCCTGGATTGCGTGCAGCCTGGAAGAGGAGCACCGCGCCGCCGCGGTGCACATGTCCGCCGCCGCCGCGGTTTGGGGGGAGGGGGAGGAGGAGGAGGGGGAGGAGGGGGAGGAGGAGGAGGAGGAGGAGGAGGAGGAGGAGGAGGAGGAGGAGCACGCGAAGCGTCGTCGCGGACTTCCGCTCGCCCCGAGCGCTCGGGCTTCTCGCGCGAAGCCGGCTCGCTCACCTCGCGCGGCGTGGGCGGCAGCGCCGCGCGGCCTTGACGCTGCACGGGCTGCACAGAGCGTGGCGCCCGCCCTCAAGCCCCTTCGGGGGCAACGTTGAGGGGGTTGGCTACAGGTACGCTCAGGGGGGATGCGTCGGCCCCCACTCTCGGGGCTACGCTCGGGGAGATTGTCGCCGATTCTCGGCGGTTTTCTAACCTCGGGAAGCCTTCCAGCTGATGCGCCTCGCCAAGAGCGTTCTCGGGATGCCCGGATCGTCCCGATAGGACGCCGGAGGCCCGAGTTCTGGCAGTCCAGGTCGATGTTCCTCCCCCCTCTGAGTTTGTCTCCCTCTGACGTTCCCCCTCACCCCTGCCTGCAGCCTCTCCGGAGCCGCGCGCGGCCAGGCACGCGCCTGGCGCGAAGGTGACGCAAGTGGTGTTGTCGCCCAATCAGGTGCCCAGCGCCGGGGGGGGCATATGCGCGCGCTGCGGTGCAGTTGGCGAGCGGCGTTCAGGGCGCATTGACATACCATGTTTCCTCTTGTCCCTCGAGCCCTATGCCACATGTTGTCTCCCCTCCTTTGCCTCCCGCTACTTGCCCCATCATGGCTGTCCCTGTTTCTTCGTGTTCGTTCCTCGCTCCGCCCTCTCCTTGTCACACCCTGCCTCTCCTGGATCGGCATCGTTGTATAGTTCGCGTCCATTGGATTTTGGGGCCTCGGCGTTCTCCTCCTCCTCCTTTTCTCATCCTTTTTGTCTTTAGCCATTGTGGCTCAAGTTCCAAGCCTGCGGCTTGGGCTTGGAACTTGCTGTGGCCGACGGGGAGGCCCGAAGTTTTCGGGGCCAGGACTCGGCCACTTTACAGACGTGCGCCAGACCACGTTCCGTTCACGAATTTCGTTTTCGGGGAGATTCAGATCATATCTGTCTGCCCAGCCATGGAGTGCTGCAGGAGCTGACTTCGGCGATCAACTACCAGTCGGCGCGGGTGGCGCAAAAGATGGGCGTGACGCGCCAGTCGATCGGCCCCTACAACACGCGGGCGTACGCGCTGGAAGCCTCCACCGGCGCCCTGCAGGCCCAGCAAAAGCGAGACCTGCGAGGACATGCAGGTATTGGTAACATGCAGGACGTATGAGGACATGCAGGTGTTGGGTATTGGTATGAGACCTACGAGGCCGCATGGGCGTCCCGCCTTGGAGATCTCGACCAACGCTTTGATTACCGTGATGCTTTCAGAGATTGCGATGGTCAACCCAGTGAGGAGAGTTCATCAATTTTCTGTTGAGTTTCGGCGTTGACCGACTGGAAAGTAGTTGACCTTCAACGACAACATAATACTGTCTCTCGTCCTCCCTCCGCGGCGTCTACTTTTCCGCGGGGGGACTTTCGAAGGCCAAAATGAGGCGCACGGACGTTGCCCCTCCTCTCCTCCTCTTCCCAGCTTTTGTGAAGGTGGGATCGGCCATTGCCGCGCGTGGGTACTAGCCTTCCCTCCAGCGGCATTCGAGAGCCACCAGAAGTCTCACTTCGCAATTGTTCAGCAAGCAATCCAAGACATCGTTTCTTACCTGGACGATAACATCACTGCCAATTTCCTCAATGTCCCGACGTCCTACTGTGCCCCTTGCTAGAGCAACGAGCACTGCCGTGAATTTCGGGAATGGCCGACGCAGCACTTAACGACCTGGGTCAATCTTCGTTCCAACACGCACACAACACCTTCGAACCCGCCCCGACATGCCCGTGGTAGCACGGCGTCGTCAACGGATCCTGTCCAGCCTCTTGCCGCATGTTTGGAGCAAGCTGCTGACGGATGGAAGGTGTATTGTTGGGAGCGAATGGCGCCCGCGGCGGGTTCATCATCATCGACAAAAGCATAGACGACAACATCGCGCTACTCCACACCCGCGCGGAGAGCGACAACCGGCGCAGCATCCAGCCCGTCTTGGAAAACGTTTTCCGTTGGGTATATTTGAGCCCGACGCGACCGAGCAGATCCAGGTTGCGACAGACACCAGCAGCGATGGTTTCATCTAGGGAGCCCTTTTTCGCAGGCGCCTCGCCAAGTAGACTATTGCCCGGCCGTCCTGGCGCAGGGGCTGGACGCGCAGAGGCGATCCGGCAGTTCCTCGTTTTCTTCGTTTTCTTCCCCTCTGCGCGGTCTGGTGTCGTTCTGCCCCCTTGGGCCCCCCGCCAGTCCCTCGCCCTCCGCCAGATTGGTCAGCGACTCGGGGTTGCGGCTTACCACGTGGACTGCCCAGGCGTTTTGTTGATCCATGCATGGACATCGTCAAACCATAGCCGCGAAGCGCGCTCGATTTCTCATTATGCGCTCTGCCTCTCGCGCGGTTGGCACTCGAGACGGGGACTTTGACGCCATCCTGCATGAGTTGCCCCGCGACGGGATTTTCGGCGCCTCCGGCCCCGACTCGCTGAACCGCGCTGGTCTGATTACGATGGCGAGTTTTTTTTATCTTGGGAAAGCTTTCGGACTTCTGGCATCTGGGTATCTCTCTGGGGAGTGTCGTGGGATCAGGGCTCGGCCCAATTCTGGGGAAGTCTGTTCCATGCATGTCCACGCGGGCGCAAAGTTCAGAAGAGTTGAAAGCGACGCAGCTCATTGCAAACATCCGACAGGCAGAGCCCATTCCAGCTCAGGCCCAGGCCCTCCTGATGGGCGAATTCAACTTCTCTGCCCTGTGGCGAGGGCCTGGTCGACGATGGTATTGCGAGGTTCTTGGAAGTGCAGTTCCCGGATACGGCAGCGGTCGAACAGCCCGGCCCCCCCCCCGCCACGCGCGCGCAGACGTGCGATGGAGTCCACGGGCGCCCATTCCGTCGACGCGTGAAACTTCGCGGATTGTTTGCCAAGTCGCGCGCGTCCGACATCTGCGGTCATCGCCCACAGACGAGCGCGATCTGGGGTTCATGCGATCTCCGGGCTCCTAGCGACCATCGCCGTGTCGTCCTTTGTCTCCGTCTTCCCGTGCTTGGCCTCAACCCTGGCCCCCCCTCGTGGATCTCCACGCGCCGTTGGTTTCTTGCTTTGGTGCAACGTTGCGCTATGATAGTTGCTCTTCCAGGGTACCCACCTACCCGAGTTCAAGAGATACAGGAGTACATGTACGTTCTTGCTAATCGTATGCGTGTACAGACACAGCATCTTCTTCCTGAGTCTCATGCTGTGGCTGCCCCTTATCAATCATGCCATGGCGAGCAGGCGCGCGCGCGCGTCATCGGGCCGGCCGTGTAAGTTCTTGCCGACGTTGGCCTGCTGGGAGACGGCTTCCTGGTTACGATATCTTCCGATGGTGTTCTCCAAGGGCGTCCGATGTCTGGGAGCAGTCATGTCCTCTGTCTTGGTCCAGCATTGCGTCGTACACTGTTTAATTTGCCGCGCCCGAAGAGCGCACTGGGCGCGCCAGCGGACGGCGTGGCGCTCTTTTCGCAGAGGTTGCACCGAGCTCCTGCGCGCGCTGATGTCTGCCCTCGCGAGCGCCGCCATCGTGGCCGGCTCCCCTCCTTGACACCTCCACGCGCGCAATCAGTCATAGTTCGAGAGGAGAAAGAGATTCGGAAGTCCAGGGATCACGGATTGAGGGCGGGCAAATCCCCGATTCACTGCTTGGGGGGATCTCGGCGTCCACGTAGGAGGAAAGTGTTTCCGGCGGTCCTGGGCATGCCAATTTCGAAGTAAATCGATGGTTGCCGTTCCGTCCGCTTCTTGGCTGGAGTCCTCCATCCCTCTCTGGAGTCCGACTGCGCCATCGCGATCTCTGCCCTCGCGTTCGTCGCCTCATTTTTCGCCACCCTCAAAGCTGCTAGATGGTTCCGACGGCGTTGCCCACCAGATCTCGGCCTCCTGCCCGCGCTGCGCGATCCCGAACTCTGTTTTGCTGCAGTCTAAAGGCATATTCTCGAAAAGCTAGAACGCGAGGTCTCTCTGGAATGAAGGGCGGCCCGCGCTCCGAAGGGGTGCTGCCAGGTCGCCAACGTTCGGGGAATGTAGATCGGGGTTTAAGGAGGTCCTCGCGGGGGGTGGATTGATTCCGGGGCGGAGGTGGGATGCGTTTTGTCAGTCACCTCCTTTGGAGCAGATGATCGACGTGCACGATTGCGTCCGGCGCCTGCCCCGCGCGTTCACCGACCGCCCACGGGAACGCGGCGCCTTGGGGCGCCCTGACATTTAGAACGCGCCGGGGAAGACAGGCCGAATTTGCTCTCGCAGCTTGCGGGCGCCAGATTTATGCCCCCCCCCCCCTTTCGGAGCGGAGTTCCCTTGGGGCCGAGTGCGCCTGTCTGCGACGAGGCGGGCAGGTGCGCGGGCTATTGCGCGCTGATATGGGGCGCTGCCGTCGCCGATGGCGCAGGCGGCTTCGACTCGGCGCGCCTGCCGTTGAGCGGTCGGCGGGCGCGCGCGTCACAGCGCCGCTGGCGCCGCGGTTCAGGACGGCCTGCGTCGGCGGGCCAAACGGCTCCCGCTTGCAGCGTGCCCCGCAGATTTCGCGCAGGGGGTGTCTCGAGACGGCTCTCAGCGCTCCCGCATTGCGAAGTGGGCATGCCGCGTAAAGGGCATTCGTGATAGCGCTGCCCCTGGTTGAGCGGTTCAGGCAGCGCGCCGAAGAGCGATGGCGCTCAGGCACCGTCGACTGGATTGGCGCGCGCGCCGGGCGGCGCGCGGGCGAAATGTGGCGCGTCGACGCGCGAATCGGGCGGCTGCCGCCTGCGCGGACCCAGCCGAGACCTCGCTGCTCCCTGGGTGGTTGCGAACTGTGCGCGTGTCGCGATTTTCGCTGGCTCCTGGGAGGCGCGGCTGGGCCGGGGGCCACGCGCGCCCCGGCCGGGCCCCGCTGCTCCCCCGGCGGTCGCGACATGCGCAACTGACATTAATTTCGCGGGCGCCTGGGAGGCGCGGCGGAGCCCGGGGGGCGCGCGCGCCCAGACGAGACCTCGCTGTTCCCTTGGGGGTTGCGAACTGTGCAGCTGTTGCCGTTGTCGTGCGCTCCATGGGGGCATGGCTGCCCCTGGTTGCTTGCGACCTGCGCAGTGGTCGCCGTTTTCGCGAGCCCCCTGGGGGGCGCGGCAGGGTTGGGGGCTGCGTGCGCCCAGACAAGATGTCGCTGCTCCCTGGGTTGCCGCGAGCATGTTCCCATTTTCGTGGGCCCCTTGGATGTCCGACGGCGCCGGGGGCCACGGGTCGAAATCAATCCTCGCCACGTCCGCTGGCTCCCAGGAGGCCCAGCGGAGTCTGGAGCCGCGCCGACCCCACCGCGACCTGGCGGGTCCGCGGGAGGTTGGGGGTTGCCGTAATGGCTGCGGACAGCTTTCCGAAGACATTTCCATTCAAGCATGTCCCATCCATGCGATTTTTTTCACCACTGCCGTGGGCGTCTTTTGGCGGCGACCTTCCCTTGCATTTTGAAAACGAGCGGCGGACCGCCAGGTGGCGAA